CATCTCCTCGCCGAGGGCATACGGGCAATGAAGAAAAACCCATAGACAGGTAAACGGCCCTCACAGTCGCAACATCTCAGAAACTGAGCCTGGTACGTGTACATTAACCCCGACATTCTGTTCCTATACTGAGCGCCATGGAAAACCTATCACTTTTTTTTCCCAAATATTTTATTACTAGGTGGTTTTGTATGTATAATATTATGCAATACTATGAACTATTGTTTCACACAATGCTCCCAAACGCAAAAAATATCGGCCCGTGTGCAAAAAAAAAAATTGCACGAGATGCACCTGAAAAACCCAATATTCACGTGCAGCATTGTGTGTGAGCCCTTTAAAAGCATGTTTTCAACTTAATCTGCAGTACATGAACTGTGAAACATGAATCTGTCGTAATTTGTTGTTGGACGTGTGAAGGAATCGAGCTAGAGATGTCGAGACTTACTGAAAATCAACGGAATGAAGCCATGGGAATGTCCAGGGCTGGCATGTCTACATGTGCTATTATAACCAAGCATTTCAATATGATGCTTGACAGAAATATTTTTATTATACTGTTTATTCAGAAATAATTCTAAGAACCCAATGTTATAGTTTTTAACAGCTATAGTCAGACTGGGACACTAATCTCCTACAATATAATTAAATGTATTCATTGTTTTAATCTTGATCTTTTATCAACATAAGTATTATTGTATAGTTGTTGAATAGCATAAAGTAGGCTCATTGTTTTTATTTACCATTTAATTAACTATTTAATTTAAGTCACTAGTGGCAACATTTTATAATTGTTTATTATAAAACAAATTAAACTTAAAAACTTAAAATCAACGGAATGAAGCCAATGTCCAGGGCTGGCATGTCTACACATGCTATTGCCAGACACTTAATTGTCATCAGTCCACTATTGTAAGGTTGGTGGAACGTGTTCGAGTTACTCCATTTCACCATATGTGACCGTCAACGTCCTGGTCCACAACGCGTTACAACCCAGGCTCAAGACCGCTACATCCGGGTCACTCATCTGCGTGACAGATTCCGCCCAGCGACTCGAACAGTTGCATCAGTCGTCGGAAGACAAGGACCAGTAAGTGCCAACACCGTAAGACGTCATCTAAGAGAAGTAGGACTCCGTGCACGACGACCTTATGTTGGAGCTATCCTCAAGGATCATCAGCGTCAGCGGCGTTTGATATGGGCTCAAGGACACCAGACATGGAGAAGAGTAGACTGGCAAAGTGTGCTCTTCAGTGATGAGAGTCGCTTTCATCTTTATCACGCTGATGGCTGTCAACGTGTGTGGAGACGTCTTGGGGAACGTCTTGCAGACTGCTGTGTCTTCGAAACGAATCGATGGGGTAGGGGAAGTGTAATGGTGTGGGGAGGCTTCACATTTCATCACTGGACCGCCCTACACATTTGCAGGGGTCGCGTTAATGCTGTAGCCTACAGTGATGATGTCTTGCAACCAATTGTTGTTCCGATGTTTCGAGCGCACCCACAACTTCAGCAGTTCCAACAGGATAATGCACGTCCGCATACCACCCGTTTTAGTATGGACTACCTGGCTGCTAACAACATCAATATCTTGGACTGGCCAGCCATGTCTCCGGACATGGCACCGATAGAACATGTCTGGGATGAGATTGGACGCCGTCTGTATCGGAGACCACAGATGCACACCATTGCTGCTTTAGAAGCTGCTCTTGTCCAAGAATGGAACAATTTGCCCCAGGCCTTTTTTCAAACATTGGTAAATTCCATGCGACGTCGCTGCGCAGCATGCGTAAGATCCCGTGGCGGACACACGCGCTACTGACATCTGTGTCGTACTTTTGGTTTTGACCCCTCTGACTTTGTACTGTTGATTACAGATTAAACATCCATAAGTGTACAAATGTGTTGTTATTGATGTGTTCCCATTTCAATATTGTTCACAATAAGAAGCAAAATAAATAAGATATGTTTACAGGATCATTTTGTTACACGAAAAACTAATTGATGCGTTTTCAATGGCGCTCAGTATATATTCGGTAACCACTACCGGCTGTGGATATTGCCTAAAAAATAAAACAACTTTTTTTTTCTTTTTTTTTTTCCACTGTAACTAAAATCGCCTCAGTTAATTAGTCATAAACATAAGAAAATCAAATACTATAGCATACTGGCAATAAGTTTTAACAACTGTTTCGTCTTTTTGTTGGGCGATTTTTCAGGTTTTAATTTACCATCGCTCTTTATATCGCATTCAAGGACATTGACATCCATGTCGCGTTCATCATCAGAGGTATCACTTCTACTTGATGGTAAACTATTCGTGTCCTTTACATTTTCAGTATCTTGATCATTACGAGCCTTCAGACGCTTGGATAATTCCATTAACGGAACATCTTCCTCGTCCGACGCGCTATCCGATCTTTCCCTTCTAAATCTAGTAGCCAGTTGAGCCAATGGTACACCCTCATCGGATTCACTGGTTTCGTTTTCTGAGCTAGAATCGGGGCTTGGTGGATCTTCTACATATTGCGCTTTTCGCAGTAACTTTTCCTTATTAGATTGTTTTTCCGGAATTTGCCAATTATCAAGTTTTGCTAAACGCAGATCTTGTGCATTCGACTTTGTAGTTCGGCCTGTTAATTGATTATGTATTGTAAAAGAAACGGGCGATGTTTGTTTGATTATCCAATAAGTGTTGACAACGCACCCAGACTAATATTCGCAGAATATTTTTCTGCATGATAGAGACTAATATTGTCGTTAACTCCGTCCGTCCGTTGGTACGGCATCCATAATTGCTTCTGGACGCTCACGCTTTAAATTTATACACAATGTTTATGGTCACCTCCCTTAGACGTTGTTTATGATAATGTAAGAGACCAGATTATCTAGCTTATTTTTATCAAATGTTGACAACGCATCCAGACTAATATTCGCAGAATATTTTTCTCCATGATAGAAACTAATATTGTCCTCACCCCCGTCCGTCCGTCAGTCCGGCATCTACAATTGCTTCTGGACGACTACGCTCTAGAGACTAAAGTTAATATCCGATTGACTTTAAATTTATACACAATGTTTATGGTCAACATTTTTCGATAATTACTGTCAGAGTTATGGCCCTTGATCACTTCAAAAAATCTTGTCAACGCTCTACACGCTAAAGTTAATATCCGATTGACGTTGAATTTATACACAGTGTTTAAGGTAATGAGACCAAGAAGCCTATTCATTTTCAACCTTTTCCGATAATTACTGTCAAAGCTATGGCCCTTGATCACTTCAAAAAATCTTGTAAACGCTCTAGAGGCTAAAGTTAATATCCGATTGACTTTAAATTTATACACAGTGTTTAATGTCTTATGATTACTGCCAGAGTTATGGCCCTTGATCACTTCAATAAAAATTGTGGACGCTCTACAGGCCCAAGTTAATATCCGATTGAATTTAAATTCATACACACTCTTTAAGGTCATAAGGCGAACAAGCCTATTGATATTGAGCATTTTATGATAATTACTGCCAGAATTATGCCCTTGATAACTTCAAAAAATTTAGTAGTCGCTCTAGAAGCTAAAGTTTATATCCAATTCATTTAAAATTTATACACAGTATTTAATGTCATGATACGAATAACCCTATTGATTTTCAGCAATTTCCGATAGTTAATGCCAGAGTTATGCCACTTGATCACTTCAAAAAATATTGTGCACGCTATAGAAGCCAAGTTTAATATCCGATTGACATCAAATGTATACACAATGTTTAACGTCATAAGGCGAACAAGTATAAGGATTCTCAGCGATTTCTGATAATTACTACCAAAGTTTTGGCCCTTGATCACTTCAAAAATCCTTGTAGAAGCTCTAAACGCTAAAGTTATCATCCAATTAACTTTAAATTGATACACAGAGTTTACGGTCTTGAGACGAACAAAATATATTAATTTTCAATGAGTTTTGATAACTTCAACACCTAAATCCATGATATTAAATATTTCCTACACTAAAAATTACCATACACGACAACAGCAGTACAAGAATTTTATTCGCAATATTTTCCTTTGTTCTTGTACACAGTTCATCAAGAATCTGATTATATTAACAATTTCTTTTTCTCATTCTCCCCATCTTCAACATCTAGATCCGTATTTTAAACTTCTGAAATGGGGAGTCAATTCGATTACATCAATACAAGTCTCAGTTATTTCCCTTAATTTTCCGAAATTTGTTTACCCAGGTGCAATGCTACTCACTATATATACATATATATATAACTTCGATTTTGATAGTTTCTTTTTATACGCCCACATTTAAATGTTGTCGTATATTGTCCTCTACCCTGCCAGTCCATAGCTACGGCGTCCACAAATTTATACTCAGCGTTAACAATCATGAGCCAAAGAAGTCTATTCATTTTCAGCATTTTCCGATAATTACTGTCACAGTTACGGCCCTTAATCACTCCCAAAAATTTTGTGGACTCTCTAGAGGTTAAAGTTAATAACCGATTGAATTTGAATTTTTACACAATGTTTAAAGTCATGAGACGAAGAAGTCTATTGATTTTCAGCGTTTTCCGATAATTACTGTTAGAGTTATGGCCCTTCATCACTTCAAACAATCTTGTGAACGCCCTAGACGCTAAAGTTAATATCCGATTGACTTTTAATTTATACACACTGTTTATAGTCATGACATGAAAAAACCCATTGATTTTGAGCAATTTCGGATAATTACTGCCATAGTTATGCCCCTTGATCACTTCAAAAAATATTGTAGACACTCTAAAAGGTAACGTTAATATACGATTGACTTTAACTTTATACACAGTCTTTAAGGTCATGAGACGAAGAAGCCTATTGATTTTCACAGTTTTCTGATAATTACTGCCAGAGTTATGAACATTCATCACTTCAAAAATCTTGTTGTCGCTCTAGAACCTAAAGTTCCTATCCGATTGTCTTTAATTTGTATTTGTTTTTCTTCTTTATTGCATAGTATGCGTATAAGAATTTTGCAACAAAGTGGATATAAAACAAGTTCAACATCGGTAAGCACTATTTTTTTTTATTCTTTTATAATTCTACTTGGGTTAAGTTACTTTTTGTTGGTTGTTTTAATTCACCACAAACACATACAGAAACATTACTATATACATGCTTACAAATACATTTTTATACGCACACATTTTTATGTGCACACATTTTTATGTGAAACTTCCAATCAATAGAAACAGGAAACACAAACAAAATACAGACGGTTTGATGGGATCAAATTTGACTAAGTCAAAATGATGCATAAATTTGATATTCAGATAAGTTGATATAAAATACGGCAAATTCTTAAAGCTTGGCTGTATGGGAGGCTTTTTTTCAAGGGCTCTGGATGGCAGCTGTTGTAATGGAGATAGAAGAAACTATCTGTGGGTTTTTGTTAGAGGCGTGTTTGTAGGTGCTGCAATTCGTCTTGATAAACAGTGACATCTAGGAAGTTGATACTTGTGTTGCTGTGTTCTAGTGTTAATTTGATGCTAGGTATTGTAGAGTTGATCCCTTCCATGAATCTATTGAGATTCTCTAAGGTGGAGGGCCACAGGAAAAATATATCATCAGTATATCGCCACCAAACAAGTGGTTTGATGGGACTTCTGTTGAGTATCTCTTCTTCGAATTGGGTCATGAATATACAGGCGATGTTGGGTGCAGCTTTGGTTCCCATTGAAATACCGTTGGTTTGTAAGTAAAATTTATCATCAAATCTGAAGCAATTTTTGGTTAAAATTAGATGGAGCATACGTAAGAGCAGCCAAGTAGGTGTGGTTTGTTCAAGTCTTTGTTGATGGCTAGATTGAATGGGATTTAGGTGTAGAGGGAGGATACATCTGCTATGCATAGTATAGTATCAGGTGGTAGCGGGCCAAGAGCGTTGAGTTTCCTGAGAAAATCTGTGGTGTCCTTGATATAAGATTTAGACTCTGTGACGATGGTTTTTAGGTGGTAATCCAGGTATTCAGATATTCTTTCTGTCGGCGAGTTGGTAGCCGAAACTATGGGTCAGCCTGGGTTGTTGATTTTGTGTATTTTCGGTAACATGTAGAAAATAGGTGTTCTCGGATGTTTTACTTTAAGAGATCTGGCGGTTCTTTTATCCAAAGCTCCTTGTCTTTCTGCAAATTTGATAAATTTGTGGATTTCTGCATTAAATGATAGAGTGAGGTCCTGTGCCAGGGGTTTATAGAACTTGTGGTTTTTTAACTGCCGTAGTCCTTCGTTCGGTTTAGGATGACAATTTTGCCGCCTTTGTTGGCCGGTTTGATGACAATATCTGTGTTTTCTTTTAATTCTTTGAGAGCAGCTCGAAATTTTTTGTTGATGTTGCTGGTCTTCTGAATCTTGGTGGGAGTTTTGCTGGTGATTTCATGACTGGTTACGTGAATGAATCTTTCTAAGGTGTGGCAGTGGCTTATGGGTGGGTTCCATCCGGATTCTAATTGAATAGGGTTATTAGAAGGGCGAGGGGGGTGGTCCCTTAAGAAATGTTGTAAGCGTAAGCTTCTTTCGAAAATTTTGTTTTCCATAATGGTTTCAATTTCATTTTTATAGCAGGGGGTAGGTATGAAGTTTAGTCCATAGGCAAGGGCTGTGAGAGGGGGCTGTTGGATAAATTAATTATTAGATCGTGGAGTTCTGGCATCGTTTCTTGTTTTCTCTGGAATCTACTGGGCATTGTTTCGGGTTTTAGGTTTAGATTTTAGTTCCGTGATTAATTTTTCGACTAGGTCTAATAGATTCTTCTTGGATTCTTCTGTTGCGGTACTTTTATCGATGTCTTCTAAAACTTGTTTGATGTCTTTAGTTATTTCTTGGTAGAAATGTTGCCAATAAGATAATAAAATTTGAGTAAGTTGTTTGGCAAAAGATTGATGAGCTGTTTCCCACTGGATCAGGAAGCGGGTGGGGAAAGTGGGTGTTTGTGGTTTGACTTTGTTCTGATTCAGGCCCTTTGGTATGAAATGATCAGTCGAGCACTTGGTTAGAAAATCAATGTGATTGGTGCATTTAAATTCGCTGATTCGTAATCAGCGTAAAGCCCGGAAATACGGGACCAACTGGTCTGGTAGACGTGCGTTGGAGGATAGAGTAGTGGCCGAGAAAAATGGGATAGGGCTATCCTCTTGTCTCCGGCGTTTGCGTTCAGGATCGAGGACTCGAGGTCCATAATATGGTGAGGACTGGAACGAGTGAGGCGCAAGGGCGCTCAAAGGTCTCTGAGTACGAGAGGATCACCCTGGATAGGGGTTGTAGTGGAGTAAAAGTAAATAATCAGTAGAAAACGACAACAACTCTCGTACAAAAGGTCTTAAAGTAGCTGGATGCTAGTATCTGGAGGACATCTAGACTGGGATCTCAGCGATACACAAGGGGTTGCAGGATAAGTAGAAATAAGTAGAATAGTAGCCCCTCAAACCAGTAGAAAAGATGAACTCCTAGTAGAAGTTAAGGTTGTATTTATTTAGACGTTTCGGACTAAGGTGTCCTTCCTCAGTAAATGAGTTGGATGAAGCGAAGCGTGCGGTATTTATACTAATTGATTGTGACGTAACGTGATTATTAAGGATGGTTTATGAGTAAATTGGATTAATCTTGATCATCTGGGAGTGATCAAGATTATTCAAGAGGGTTTACATTTTAAAAAAGAGAATTTTGATAATAAAATCTAAAGTTTTGAATAAAATTGTATATTTACCGCTCGATTCGCGGTAACATGATGGGATGATATGATTTATACAGATGATTAACAAATTTATCATACAAATTGATTTAAAAATTGAAATTAATAATTAAAAAGTTAAAAAATTCTTTTTTTAAAAAATTAGAGTTCTTAATTTTAAATTATGCTGGAACAGTTCTTATTCTTCAGAAAGATATATTAAATTCTTCTAAAATTTGGTTAAAGTTCAACTGGTGATATTCGTTGGATATCACATCGTGATCTGACACTGTCGGTGTTGGTGGTGTCTCTGTTTTTGATGTTGTGGATTCTTCCGTGCTGTTTAGTTGATGAAAAAATTCTTCTAAGTCTTTGAATTCGGGCTTAAGGTGATGGCTGTGTCCTCGGTGTTGGATTCAACTCGGATGATTGGAGGTCGTGGGCGAGCCTCAAAAGGAGGGACCCACTCACTATGTTTGACCGGCACGCAAGATGGAAGGATGTCGTGCCGGATTTTATATGCTGTTTCTTTACTTCAAGAATCTGTGTCTTGCTGTAGTTGTGATCTTTTGAAAGGTGTCTGTATAAATTAGAACGCCATTGGTACTGGTGGCCGCATTCTTTACAGTGATTGATAGGCATGTTGAAAAAAATCTTATTTCTTAGGAATGGTCATTTATGCCTCCTGGGTAACTGGTGCCTAAAAATTGGATGAGGCTTTCTTCATGTCTCAGCCGTTTATTCAAATTGCGTGACGTTGTACTGAGAATAATGACGTCAGGTTTGTGATTGGTTTCCTGGAAATGGTTGCTGACGGGGGTCTCCTTATTCGTTCTGATATCACTAAAATGATTGAGGAATCTTTTTTTAACAGTTATTGCTCGTTTGCCCTATGTATTGTGAACCACAGAACGAGCAAATGATCGCGTAGATTACGTACGAGGTTAAACAGTTTAGATGTTGGTTAATTTTGAAAATATTCGAGTTAGTTTTGGATTTTATAAAAGTATTTTCCTTGAGGTGTCGGCATAATGTGCAATTCCGTCCGCACTTCTTGCATCCTATTGGGCTGTTTTTCCTGAGGGCGATGTCTGATCTGATCAGCATGTCTCTTATATTATTGTTTCGTTGGTAACATACAACGATTTTCCTGTCAGCTATGAACTTAGTTTCCATGTTTAATTTAACTATACTGAGTTGATTGTTGATGAGTTTGTGGTGGTTGAATCCTGGGATATACTTGGTGCTAAATACGATGGCGTCTTGAGTTCTCTTTTCCTTTTGGACTAATAGGTCCGCTCAGGGTTGTGATCTGGCTCGGTCGAAGCACGATGCTATTGAACTTAATGGGTATCCTCTTTTTAAGAAGTTTTTTTGGCAGATCTTTAGCGAATGGTCGCGGTCTTCTAGCGAACTTGAAATACGGCAAATTCTTAAAGCTTGGCTGTATGGGAGGCTTCTTTTCAAGGACTCTGGATGGCAGCTGTTGTAATGGAGATAGAAGAAACTATCTGTGGGTTTTTGGTAGAGGCGTGTTTGTAGGTGCTGCAATTCGTCTTGATAAACGGTGACATCTAGGAAGTTGATACTTGTGTAGCTGTGTTCTAGTGTTAATTTGATGCTAGGTATTGTAGAGTTGATCCCTTCCATGAATCTATTGAGATTCTCTAAGGTGGAAGGCCACAGGAAAAATATATCATCAATATATCGCCACCAAACAAGTGGTTTGATGGGACTTCTGTTGAGTATCTCTTCTTCAAATTGGGTCATGAATATACAGGCGATGTTGGGTGCAGCTTTGGTTCCCATTGAAATACCGTTGGTTTGTAAGTAAAATTTATCATCAAATCTGAAGCAATTTTTGGTTAGAATTAGATGGAGCATACGTAAGAGCAGCTAAGTAGGTGTGGTTTGTTCAAGTCTTTGTTGAAGTTTGTCTCTGACACTGTCGGTGTTGGTGGTGTCTCTGTGTTTGATGTTGTGGATTCTTCCGTGCTGTTTAGTTGATGAAAAAATTCTTCTAAGTCTTTGAATTCGGTATCCTCCTTAACCGGGCTTAAGGTGATGGCTGTGTCCTCGGTGTTGGATTCAGCTTGGATGATTGGAGGTCATGGGCGAGCTTCAAAAGGAGGGACCCACTCACTAGGTTATTTCTACTTTATCCTGCAACCCCTTGTGTATCGCTGAGATCCCAGTCTAGATGTCCTCCAGATCCTAGCATCCAGCTACTTTAGGACCTTTTGTACGAGAGTTGTTTGTTTTCTACTGATAATAGAATAATCATGCATAATTTTTCCTTACTTGTAAAATTTTACCTAAGTTTTAGTTAAGCTAACCATT